TGGTTTCAAACTCCTGAGCTCAAACAATCCGCCCGCCTCGGCCTCCAAGAGAGCTAGGATTACAGGTGTGAGCCACCGCGCCCGGCCAAGATATTTTATTTTTACTTCTATATGTGTATACATATATATACATTTATTCTTATACGTATATACATTTTATCTATTTTTGCACACATATACATACACACATACAATTATACATACAAAACTGAAGAGTTAAAAGGTAACTATGACCATGGCCAAATAAATATTTTTAAATTGAGTGGAAGCATCCTAGAGCTTGTAGCAAATAGCTTAATTCTATGTAAATTTACATTTCAAAAGCTCTGAGTTTTATAAATAAAAAGATCATAAAACTTCACATAGGAAAAGTAAGGGGTCTAGTTTTAAAGATTATCCAATATACCTGGACAGCTGACATTATAGTGAAAGATACGTATTTCTTGACAATGTCAAAAAAGATAAAAAAGAGAATAAAAAACATTTCAGAACATCAGGATTTTGTTTTTTATATTTTTGCTATGCTGTATTTTTCTGTTCCATACCTTAAAATTTTAATAAGACAAAGTCTTTCATTACATGCTTGATAAATATCCATCTTATTTACAATTCTCTTGAAAGAAAAAAAGCCAGAACATAGTGATTGATATTTATTTAAACCTATGTAATGAAATATACATCAAGGTTTGTAACTGAGGATTTTATTACAATGAACTCATATCTTAAATTTATTATCTGTCAATTAGTATGATTTGAATAATCTTTATGTGTATAAAATGCACAGAAAAAAGAGAAAATTGTTCTGGATGGAATATAGTATACATTATACAATATATTTCCCAATACACCTAAAATTTCTTAGTTTTCCCTGAAGTTTTCTTATTTTAATGAAAAAATTAATGATAGTGGATATTTGTGTACATCTCTCCATACTGAAAATACTGAATTACATGTTGGATTCTGCAACATAAACAACACAAAGCAAATTACATATTTTCAGAAATTGAATAAAACATCATGACAAGTAACAAGTTACCAACAGATTAACATTATAGGGAGAAACGTAGATTAAAGTAGATTACTTACTTTTTTTGTCCATGATTTAAATAGCTCTGAAAAAGAAGATCTGATATTAACATATTGTCTACAAATTTACAGGTCAAATATGACTGCTGAAACAGAATACTCTAAAACTACACAGGCACACTCATAGGATATTCCTCTTCATTCATCTAGTTAAGCCTTATCCAGTCATTTAAATCCTTTGAACTTGACCCCATTCCCCTTACTGTGCTTCTGAGTAGGAATTTAGAAGATGTTGGTCAGCCCATGATGGTGAACACTTTCTTAAAGTCTTTGGGAAGAGAGTTCAATGAAGCAGAAAGCCATAAAGGAACCTTGTGAACTTAAGACCCCAAATGGGCTGGGTGCGGTGGCTCACGCCTGTAATCCTAGCACTCTGGGAGGCAGAGGTGAGAGGATTGCTCGAGGTCAGGAGTTCCAGACCAGCTGCTCAGGAGGCTGAGGAAGGAGGATTGCTTGAGCCCAGGAGTTTGAGGTTGCTGTGAGCTAGGTCCATGTACCGCACTTTAGTTTAGCCCAGGCGACAGAGTGAGACTCTGTCTCAAAAAAAAAAACCCAAATGGTAACCAAACTAAAAAAAAAAATACAGCCTTCACAACCTCCACAACCTAAAGGAAACATGTAGTCCAGTGCCCAGCCTCTCAGCCAGGCTCCAGGAATGGTCCAGCAGGAAAGCAAGAAAGGTTAATTTCAGGGCACAGTGCTGCAATTATCTCTGGAAATTCCAGGTCCTGTGGACCTGTTTTGCCTAACTTGAATAGCAAATTTGAGAAGGCTTGACAGTCTGTTCTTTGCATCAAGAGATGCTTTTTACCAGATAACCCACTCTCCGGAGTTGGCATAACTGTAGCACCTTGACAATCCAAGTGAAACTTTGTACTTGGTTATTTCTACAGAATAAATAACAATAAACAATCTACTCAATATCCTGATTTCCAGTGCTTTGATCCCATCCTAATTGTTCCCACTACTATCTAGTCACTACTTTCTCTGTCTATTGTGAATCCCAACCCCCTTTATGCTTGTTAATTATAATTTACACATCAGGCAAAAACACTCTTCCCCAAATTAGCCCTTCCCCTTCCCAAGCACACTGCAGTGTTGGCTGCCTTTCACCAATTCCTCCTACTGAACAATCCTAAATGTTACTTAAGTCACCTGATCCCACTACACTCTCAATTAAAATCTAGTGTTCCCAAGAAGAAACCACTTTCTTCCTCTGTGTTTCAAAATTATTTTTTATCATTGCTAACTTTAAGCATAAAATTTCAAAATCTGGTAAAACTTTTAAGACTGCTCCAATTATAGTCACCTCTGAATTATATTTACTCAAGAAGTTCGGCAATGGTTGAATAATTCAAATGGGTTTACTTGACCCTGGAATAAATCCAAAAATGTGTCTGTGTTACTGATTTAACTTCCTGGATTTTCTTTGAACAATAGGAACCCTGGTTTGCATTAACTGGTCAGAAATCAGGGGCTGTGTTCAAGTCAGAAGGGCAGAAATATTAAAATTTACATTTTTCTGCAATTAATTTATAGGTAAATAATAAGTTAATAAACATACGTAACCAAAGTAGACTAAAAGTTTTCAAACTATGTTTGTATTTTAGGTTCCATCATCTAAAGAACTATAAAAATAAATAGAAGGAGACCAAATTTATACGTACAAAAGACCAAGTTGTTTTTGTCAAGCTCACGTTTCCATCATCAAAGGATATACACTAAAATGAATACCCATTTTCTTAAAACATGTTAAGAATACTTTAACAAATATATATAAAAAAGACTGATAAATTCTGGAGTAGTATCCCTTAATTAACATGCTGGACTACACATCTTTAAAGTTTTTATCTAACCCATGTTTCTTACAGGACACCACTCTTTTTATTTTTTTTATTTCAGGATATTATGGGGGTACAGATGTTTAGGTTACGTATGTTGCCCTTACCCCCTCCCCTCCCAAGTCCGAGTTTCAAGTGCGTCCGTCCCTCGGATGGTGCGCATCTCACTCTTTGTGTATGCATATACGCGTCCCCTCCCCCCGCCTGACATCCAATACATGTTATTCTTATATACCACTCTTTAACATGCTTAGTTTTAAACGGAATTGGCCTTTAACTATAATAATTTTAACAGCAATTTTAAGTGACTATTGTTTCAGTCATTCTTATTTTGCCTACAGTGTCAGAAAGGCACTAAGTAACATCTAATGAAAAATCCTAAATGATATATCTAAGAGAAGAAATACAGGCAAATGTTTATTTCTTATTTTTTACAAACATACCATTGAATTGGGAAAAAAAATCATACTTTCTAGATTGCGAATCTATACATTTCAGATGGAAAATATTTTTGTTATAATTTAAAAAATATTTCTCCTTAGCATTTAGCTGTTTTAGGCTGGTAAGTCCAGTGCAAGCCAGAAATAAAAGAATCTTTCTGCTAGAAAGTTAGGGAATTCATAAACTAACACTATGTATAATTTTAAGAACAGGTGGAGGATCTTAAGCACGGAATGTCATAAGTTTCCAAGTCCTTGCAAATGAGTACTAATTGTGAATACACATAGTATTTACTTTTCATGGGCTCAGAGCTCATTCTTTCCTTGCACAGAATTCCCAGAAACAGAAACTAAGCAGATTATATAATAGTGCTCATTTGTTCATATTTGTTCTTTTTCTTCCTATTTAGTTATATTATTTTAAGTCATATAAGTTAGTGAGGATGATTACCTATGACAAAACTACTACAGAATAAAATCTGGGTCCTCACTATAGGTTTTAGAATTTTAGTAATTACATAATATCATGAGCATTGAAAATGGTATGTCATAAGCTCTATACAAAATGTTAAGCGATCCTTGTACCTGTACCTGTGCCAAGTAGAATAAAGCACTATATACCAGATGAATAAAGTCATCCACCACGTGGATGCCTACTCTGTTTGCTGTTACAATGAGCCTTTGGTTCTCTCAAACTTAATGAGTATATTCCAAGACATATGTCACTCAGTTTGGGGAATAACTGAGTGTGTTTTTGTTGAATTAATTAGTTAATTAATTTAACGTGATAACTCTTTAACAATGGCTTCTACCATTCTTAGTTTTTAAAAAGTTTACAAATACTTTAGGGAAAGAGAAAATCTTATTTATGCTGTCCCCAAAGGAAAAAAAAAGTCTGTAATAATGTCATATTATATATTATACCATTGCAATCATAATTACTCCAAGACAACAGAATTTCAAAATATAATACAATTACTACATACTTACAACAGAATTTCAAAACATAATTACTACATACTTTTCCTAACTCTGTTAAATGAGAGCTTTGGAGGAAATTGAGGCATCATACACTACACTTGATCTTAGCCAAAAGGCCAAGAAGCGATAGAGGCATCATATATTATATGTACATTGTGTACATATAAATACATCTCTGTTAAAATCACTCGATCAGAAATCACAAGTCCCCATTGATGCTCTGGACTATTTGGTAATTGTAAACCTCTACCACCAGGGAGAAGGAGAAACAGCACAGGGGATTTCCAGTTACAGCTTCACAATTTATATTACAGTGAAACCATTTGACTTACCTCTTGAAGTCCTGAAATTTCTCTTATTGCCTTCAAACAGCATTAATGCAAAATCTGGAATCCAAAGGGGAAGTATCCCTAATTTTAGGAGATCCTGAAACTAATGTGCCTATAAACTAGGCATAACTATATATGGGTTATTTATCTGAATTTACTTATTAATTGCCTAAGAACAAATCTCCCCCCAAAACCCATGATAAACTAGTTCACATTCTTCTTACGGCCCAAGATGAGATACATATTCTGAATTATTTTAGCAAAACTCTAGTTCTCTAAAATCAACCACAAGACTTCTAGGTCCCTAATTTTCTACCAATAAGTGAGAATGAGATATTAGGCTAGGGGGAAGGGAGGTATTGGGAGTAGTAGGCCAGGAGCAGAACCTAATATTGCAGAGGTTAACTCACAAGTCAAATAATTTTCATATTGCTCAGGTTATGTTTGTAGGTAAATTTTGTGCATTTAAGAAGGTTTAGTTAACATCTAAGAAGGAAAACAACTCATCTGCTGAACTCTAGTTTTGGTAAAAGTTAAGCAGAGTGAGAGCAGATGCATTTAAACAGTAAGTGGATCAAGGAGTTGATGAGCATTTGAGTACACCAGCACATCACACAGCATGGTACAGGACGGAAGGGGTAACTGAGGTCGACTATAAATACAAAGGTCCTTTTAACAAAAAAATCCACTTCTGTATTTTATATTTAAAAAACACTTTGGTATAGCCTTTTATATTTAATAGTATTTTATAGTAAACCTTAAATAAAAATGCAGATAATACATCAACTGGAACCAACTGAGATGGTAGTGGTCAAGTGTTCTACAAGACTAACAAGCAAATCAAAGAGATAAAAGAAGTAAAAACCCATATTTATGTTTTATTATTCTCATTTGATTGCTTTATTACTCCTGAAAATCCTTTCCTGAAAACCCAGAACTCCCTCACAAATTTGAGTTATTTCTTTTCATCCTTATGTATGATGAAACTAAACTCACAAAAATATTATTTAGTGTCATACAGCTTACTAACTTGCTAAACTGAGACAGCTGATGATTCATATTCTTTGCACTCATTCACTGAAAAAAAAAGGACTGCTAACTTTCAGTGAGATTTGTTAAATGACAATCTTTAAAGTATCTTTCTTATGTAAGACAGAAAAGTCTTGAATCTGAATTTACTATTGTGGCCCTTTAGTTTTTATTACGCCAGGTGCTATGGTTTGAATGTGTCCCCCAAAGTCCATGTGTTGGGAGACAGGGCCTAATAAGAGATGATTAGGTCATGAGAACTCTGCCTTCATGAATAGAGTAATGTCTTTATCTTGGAAGTGAGTGACTTAGCACCAGAATACAGAGTGGGTTTGGTGAGGAAAGCAAGTTCTATCCCCTCTTGTTCTCTTGCCCTTCTGCTTTCTACATGGAATGGGGAAGCAGGAATGCCCTCTCCAGATGCCAGCATGTTGAGACAGCCATGCACCGCATAATGATGTTTCGTTTGACAACAGATTGCATATATGACAGTGGTCCCCGAAGATTATAATAGTGTATTTTTACTGTTTCCTTTCTATGTTTATATATATTTAGATTCACAAATATGTAACCATTGTGTTGCAACTGACTACAATATTCAGTACAGTAACATGTTGTATGGGTTTGTAGCCCAGAAGCAACAGGCTATACCGTCTAGCTTTGTGTAAGTACACTGTATGATGTTCACACAATGATGAAATTGCCTAATGATGCATTTCTCAGAATGTATCCCTGCCATTAAGTGATACATGACTATGTTGGACTTCCTAGCCTCCAGAAGTATAAGGAATAAACCTCTTCCTTATTATATATTACCCATTTTCAGGTATACTGTTATAGCTGCATGAACAGGGTAAGACACCAAGTAAGTTTTTACTAAGCACTTATTAAAATAAAATTTGGAAAAAAAAAACAATTGTTAGTACTGACTAAGTAAAGTGTTTGGCTTTTAAATTTAACACTCATGAGTGTGCATATATATATGCACATACACATGTATACATATAAACACATTTCTTATGTAAATATTCACTTAGTATAAAGCTCGTGTGGTTTTCAAGGAATATTGAATGAAGACATAGAGCGTGCAAGGCTCTATACCAGGCACTACAGCACTATACCTAGGCACTAGGGGAGACAGGAAAATATATTATTGAAAATGCTCTAGGTGCTATGCATAAAAATAATGATAGTATAAGAAAGGGTTATGGGGGGACACTAACTTAGATGGTGGTGGGGCAGAGGCTTATCAGGAAAGCCAGATTAAGAGGTGAAGGAAATTGAAAATCACTAATGTATGAAGGTGTGGTTAAGTGGGGGTGCTGTGAAGTAGGGCATAACAGACAGAGAGAACTTCACAGGTAGAAGTCCTGAAGCTGAAGGGAACGTGACTCATTCAAGGACATGAGCGCTCTGGGAGGGTCCAGATCAGAAGAGGAGAGATCCTTAGAGATGAGGACGGAGAGGTGTTCAGAGGCCAGTTCACACATATTTAGCTTCTCTCTACCTGTACTCTAAGCTCCTTTACAGATCAGAAGGCTGTCTGATCTGCAACCCAGATATTTTATTTTATTATTTTCAGTTTTATTACCATTTTATTTTATTTTATTTTTTATTTCAGCATATTACGGGGGTACAAATGTTTAGGTTACATATATTGCCTTTGCCCCACCCGAGTCAGAGCTTCAAGTGTATCTATCCCCCACATGGTGCACACCGCACCCATTAGGTGTGTGTATACCCATCCCTTCCTTCCCCCTGCCTGACACCCAATGAATGTTACTACTATTTACACATAAGTATTGATCAGTTAATACCAATTTGCTGGTGAGTACATGTGGTGTTTGTTTTTCCATTCTTGTGATACTTCACTTAGTAGAATGGGCTTCACCTCTATCCAGGATAATACAAGAGGTGCTAGATCACCATTGTTTTTTGTGGCTGAGTAGAACTCCATAGTATACATATACCACATTTTATTAATCCACTCATGTATTGATGGGCACTTGGGTTGTTTCCACATCTTTGCAATTGTGAATTGTGCTGCTATAAATATTCTAGTGCAGATGTCTTTTTTATAGAATGTCTGTTTTTCCTTTGGGTAGATGCCCGGTAATGGGATTGCTGGATCAAATGGTAGTTCTACTTGTAGCTCTTTGAGGTATCTCCATATTACTTTCCACAGAGGTTGTACTAGTTTGCAGTCCCACCAGCAGTGTGTGAGTGTTCCTATCACTCGCATCCACACCAACATTTATTTTGGTACTTTTTGATAAAGAACATTTTCACTGGAGTTAAGTGATATCTCATTGAGATTTTGAGTTGCATTTCCCTGATGATTAGAGACGTGGAGCATTTTTTCATATGTTTATTGGCTATTAGTCTTGTCTTCTTTTGAAAAGTTTCTGTTCATGTCCTTTGCCCACTTTTTGATAGGGTTGTTTGATTTTTTCTTGCTGATTTTCCTGAGTTCTATATAGATTCTAGTTATCAGCCCTTTATCACATGTGTAGCATGTGAATAGTTTCTCCCATTCTGTAGGTTGTCTGTTTACTCTCATGATAGTTTCCAACAAATCGTTATTCAATAAATGGTCCTGGGAAAATTGGATAGCAACCCAGCTATTTTAAATGCCACTTTTCTATCCAACTACAGAAATCCACTCATTTTATTTTTCATTTCCTTGCATTTGCTCATTGTTCAAAGCCCTTCTATTGTTGTGTTATTAAGAGAAACGTCTACTGTAGGAAAGTTCAAGAAAGAAAAAGGAACCCCAAACCTCGTGACAAGTCTCATTAAGCAACTGTGTCTTGTACTATCCATGTATCTCAAATTGCTAAACCGGAAGAAGCAATGACTGCCTGTTCCTGGAACTGAGAAGGAGCCATGCCAAGACTTTCAGGAATAACAGTACATGAATAAAAACACATGGGCAGCAGATAGTGAGCTTGGAGAAGGAGGGACTTTGTCAAATATTTAAAATATTGAAAGCTAACTTTGACAGAGTATTTCCTGCAGTGCCAGGCACCACTCTGATAACATTACATCAATACATGTAATACTCCGTAACTTTTGTAATTCTCTTAACAGTTACATAATTTCAGAGATGAGGCAAAGAAAGGAACATACATGAAGAAACTGGCTCAGAATCTACAGACGTGAAATATAGTAGAGGCAGGATTCGAACTCAGGCAGCCTGGCTCTGGAGCTACTGGTCTCAACCAGTAGCTTTGTACAGCCTCCACCTTTCATATTGCTCTGGTATTGTAGAGTGCCTAGCATAGTTTGCGGCTCCAGTTATACTTGCAATTAATACTTGTTAAACGACAGACAGCAGGCTCTATTAATTGTTCCTTTTAATACTCCCTCTATGCTGGCAGATACTCTTAAGCTCAGCTTCTGGCCATGATTCAGGCCGCTCTCTGCCTGTAAAGCAGCACAGCTAAGGGGAAGCAGAGATCTGCTAGGTGTTTTCAGGCAGGACGCATGTCGTCAGAATGGATCGAGGGCAGATTATGGGCACCGCTGGGCCAGCTGGAGCTCCACTTCCCGGCTCCACTTCCAGGGTCCCTTTCCGAGGCCTCTCGGACCCCTGCTCCCAACTTTCACCCCCCATTCTCCACCGCCTAAGCAAACACAAGCAGCGGGCTCCTTCCGCATAAACCGTCCCCACCACCTGAGCCTGGCCCTGGGACTTGCGCAGATTCCGCTGGAGCTCCCTAGCCCCGGGGAGGCGAAAGAGAAAGTTGCTCGCTTACCTGCGGCTGCAGCTGTTCCTGCGCAGCCCGGAGAGAGCGAAGGTCCAGGGACCTGGGCGCCGGGCGGTGACTCTTTTCCCCCTTTGCCCTTTACCCGCTGGGCACGGATGTCACACGACCTCCTCTGAAGTCAGCGGGAAAGGAGTAGTAACCTTGGTGCTGACACGCACGGCTCTCCGTTTCGTTTCCTGGATCCTACGTGTAGGGCACGGTTTTCCTTCCCTGGTCTCTATGCTGGTCCCCACGCTGGTTCCCCAGGTCTTGCGTCACTCCCGGAAGGCGACCAAGCTGAAGGGAGGAAGGGGTGCTGCTCCTCGCCCACCCCCGTCCACCCCACCGCCTGCTTTCTCGCTCCTTGGAGAGATTCCCACAGTGTTTGAACAGAGGTGAATTGGGACCTCGACATCAGCTGGAACTGTAAAGTCAACAACTGGGGAGTGGCCTCCTCTAGGGGATTTTCATTACTCAGGCCTTGACCCGAATCCCTCAGACTCCTGTAGCTTTTCAAAGCAGGGGAGCAGAGGGCTGCTTAGAGTACAAACGCGCAGGGATCAAGATTATTTTTATGTTTTTTTTTTCTCTCTTGGTGTCTTGCTCATTCTTCCACCAAATTTATGTTTTACTGTTTTTTAATTTATTTTAATCACTATCTTAATTTTTTAAGAGCTCGCTTCATTTTTATAAATATTGTGCCTAGATGCTTTTAAAAAAATAAATTTTACTGTGTATACTTAAGGTATACACAAGATTTTATAAGATACACATATATAGTTAAATGGTTACTCTTGTGGAGCAAATTAGTATATCCATCATCTCTCTTAACTATATATGTGTATCTTATAAAATCTTTATGATTTCCTTAATCTTATATCCCTCTTTACACACTTTATGTTGTGACTTCCCAAGTCTTGCAAAATCAGTTTCCACATCTGCCTCTTCTTTCTGGTTTCTCAAATTTGTTGAGATCTTACTCACTACAGTACATTCTCATCTTTTCCTAGTCTTTGGGGATTTTAAAGTTTTGAAGTCTTTGTTCGTTTTGTTCTAATTGTCTTGACTTTCATTTTATTTTAGGCTCTGAAGAAAAGTACCATCTTTAATTTGAAAATATCTACACATGGTATAAACTATTATTTGCCTAACAAAATCAGTCTCTGCATTTGCATGGTAAAATAGCAGTTTTCAAATTTTAGCATGCTTAAGAATCACCTGGAAATATAGTTAAAACTAAATTTGCAGAGCCCCACCTTCAGGGTTTCTGATTCAGTAAATCTGGGATGACCCCTGAGAATTTGCTTTTCTAACAGGTTTTCGTATCATGCTGATGATGCTTTTCTGCATTTTAAGAACCACTTATTAAAAGAACCCTATTTAGCTCATGTATTGTGGAACAACATATTTGTGGAAGGAGAGTCTTAGCACAAATGATGAACTTTGATTAGTAGATTGTAGTAATGATTCCATGCTCCTTTCCCTGTGACTGGTGTACTTTGGGCATATTATTCATATCTGGCAAAGGGAAAATCTTGAGGGCTTCTAGGAAAAGGTGTACTGATTATGTGTGTGTATATATAGATACATGTAGATGTACTATACATATGCCTCCTCTCTTTTATGAGGCAGTGATATGTGGAATTGCAACAGCCATATTCGGACCAGGAGAGAATATGTCTTAAAGACGGTGGAACTGAAATGAGGAAAGAGCCCAGGAACATTATGCACTGATGACCTGCTACATTGATCCTGTACTTACGTATTAATAGCTCCAGATAACTTGTTACATGAAGGCTGGCTTGTGGTTGTAAAATCTAATGATATTTATCTTTGTTCTTCACCTAATTTCATACTCAAGGCAAACAAGTTCATCATTTTCTACATGGTAGGATTTATTTCTTTTAAATTTAATACTATGGTTATAGTTCTTTGTGATTCTGGTTTTTTGTTTAAGCTATTAAAGTTTATTTGCAGTCAAAAGCATTGTACCACTGAGGATATTAACTATATTCCTTCTAAAATCTTCTTTACTGTTCTTATCTCATTTTTTTTTTGTTGTTCGTTTGTTTCTGTCTTTTGCTTAGGCTAACTGCGGTAACCAATGGCTCCAAGACTCCCACAGCCCGTGAGGAGTTGGTATAACAAGGCTTTATGGGAAACAGCAGCAGAAGGATGATCTCACTGTGCATCACTGGTCCTGACAACTGGGTGCTTGAGTTTCACCTAAATTAGGGCAAAGTTTTCTATTTTGAGAAGCTAACCTTAGCAAAGAATTTTTATTTTCACACGTTCTTTATTATTCAACTTCAGTCCATATTATTTTGCTGAGTTTATAACCAACCTCAAGACTTTAATAACATAACAAAATAAAAAATAATTTAAACTATGGTAACAACTAAATGGAAGTGTTCCTCTTTGGTGGTGGGGGACTCTGCTTCACAGCATCATTAAGGAACCCACACTAATGGAAGCTCTGGAATCTTTAATATCTGGCTTCCCAGGTTATTCTGGGCTTTGACATTGAGTCTGCAGTCAGGGCAAGGCCGAAAAGGGTTGCGTATAGGAGGTTTTTATGGGCCAGATATGAAATTGACACATATCACTTCTGGTTACATTCTGTTGTTCTGAACTCAGTTGGACAGCCGCACTAAACTGCAAGGAAGGTTGGGAATGCTGTCTGGTATAAAGTTTATTATTAATTAAGCAAAAAGTCTTTATGCTTTCTTCTGGAGATTTTCACTAAAGATTAAAATAAATATAAAGCCCCTCTTTAACAAACTATAAGTAGCCAGATGCATGATCACAGCTATTTATACAATCTTAAATCTGATTACTATAACAAAAATATTTCTAGAAGTTTTGTAATAGAAATCATTCTAAACGAGCCAAAATTTCAATACCCATGTTTTTCAGGTCCCATTGAGAAAGAGAAAATTGGACATCTTTAAGTAATACAGCATAGAACTGAGCCTAGCAAGATTTTCCAAGCACCTATTACAACAGAAAGATGTAGATCACATGGGTGGGGGTCGGGGCTGTATATCAATCCAGAAAGAACAGTTCAGTGCTGGCTTTCTGCAGGAAAAGATTTCTCCGCTAGGTTTTGAAAGAGTAGAAGATAGCCATGAGCATAAGGCAGCAACATAAACAAAAGAAGACCATGGTGTATTTCAAGAATACAAGTATTAAGTATGGCTACAGTGCATTTAGGAGCAACGTATGGTATTGACAGAGACTCCTGATCTTGAGGGTGAGGCAATTGTTGACCAAAACTTGTGTTTCCTCTTCCATGGAATAGAATTGTAGCTAAGAAGTAGCTGTCTAGGTTAGGACTACATTACCCTGCATCTAGGTTTCCCCATGTGACTGAATTCCACCCAATAGAGTGTGAGAAGAAGCAAATGTGTTACCTCCATGCCAAAGTTATTAAGAAGTAGGTGAGCCTTCACCATGCTATTTTCCCTTCAATCGCCTTGATGCGGAAGATGATGAGATCTTAAGGAATGGCAGAGCTAAAAAGGAGAAGTATCCCTCCACCCTGAACTACCACATGGACATAAGCTGCCCACCAACCAGAAACCCCCACCTTGATAGTCATGTAAGCTAGAAATAAGCTTCTATTGGAAAATTTGTTATAGCAGCTAGCATTATCCAAACTAATCAACTCCAGAAGGCTGGAGGGAGCCATTGGTATAAGGTCACATATTAATACTATTGAGAAGATATTGGATTTTATTTTGGAGGATAGATTGAAGAATGATACAATTTTAAGTATGAAAAAGACATTATTAACCTCTAGTTTTAGAAAGACTAAATTATTGACATTGTGAAAAATTATTTGTATGATAGGAGAAACAAGCAGTTAGGAGATGATTTTAGTTACAATTCAAGCCCAAAATAATGCAATACTGAACTAAAATATTGAGATGGTGTTTAGTAAAATTAGAAAGAAGGGAGGTCTTACAGGGATTTAAGAAAAAAAAAAGAAAGAAAATGTGGTGCTTAGTGACTAAATAGATTTGGGGGAGACAAAGAAGAGAATTATCTTAAGCATGTTTCCACCTTTGGCAATTGATAGTGCAAACAAATAAATAGGGATTGCTGAAGGAAATTTGGGGTAGAGTTCAGTTGCATTAATTGAATTTGAGTTGCCTGTAGGACATCAAAGTGGGAACAACTGATAGATTGCTAAGATATTCTTGCCTACCTCTTAGAAGTGAAACAGCCATGTGCACAGTATTTGAAGTGGTTCAAACATAGGAACTTGGGACATCCATGTGTAATGAGTGTAGGTGCTTCATCTTCTGCCTAAAGTAGACTGAAAGGGAAGACAAAGAAGGATGTGTAAAAATGAAGTGTGGTTTTTCTGAAATTACAGTGTGGGAGACTATTTATGAAGAAGTGGGCAATGGTGTCATAAATTGCAAGGAAGTAAAAGAAGCTGAGGCTATTATGGCCAAGTCCTGCTACTGAGGTCACAGTGTCACGTCCTCATGTTTGCACTCAATGTCAAGGAAAGAGTGCTGCCACATAACTTCTGGTCAAACACCGTGTCAAATTTATTGTGCCCTCCACCTCCCCACGTCCAGAGGGAAGGAAAGTCACTAAGCAAAACATATCTGCCACAATCTCATGCCACAATCTGAAGCCTAGTGGGTGGATGTTATCAGGGTGGAAAGAAAGTAGGTTCTCACTGTGTAGTTTCAGGTCCTGGTAAGGTACTACTTCTCATTTTTATTTCTGGCAGGGGAGAGAGAGAGAGAGAGCATTCTTTTCAGACAGCAGGGTGGGAGTGGGCATGCTGCTGCACCAGGCTGCCCTGGGAGGAGGCACAGGGCTAACTCTTTCTATGAGGCTGTCCAGTCATAGCCATGGTTTTATCAGGCACCACCTGATGCGCTTCAGTTGTTTACTTTGCAAACAATTATCACTTATTCAAAATTTAACCCCCCCCTAAAAAAACAAACAAAGCAAAATAAAATGGTTAGATTAAGGGTCTAAAGTTTCTACTTTATTTAACCAATTGTCAAATGACCATCTAAAGAGACAAATATTACTAAATTTAAAAGAAAAATCCAGAACATCCAAAAACAAAAATGTATTTTTTATAGATATTTTTTGGCTTTCAGTTCAATATTTAACAGTTTCTTTGGGCTCTAACAATTAAAGAGCCATTACCAATTTTAGAAAGGTCAATTTCACTGGCATGATAGGGTGGAAACTACATTTTAGTGCTTTGTAGAATAAAAAGGAAGGAAATGAAACATAAATAGTGAGTTTAGAATTTTTTTTTAAAAGGTAACTATAATTACTGCTAACCAAGCTTACTTTAAAAATATTATAAGCAAATA